CCCCTCCCCCCCTCTCTCTGTCAGCCGCCAGCAGCTGCAGGTTTTGCCACCTCAGCAACTACTAAATAGACCAATTAGCGCAGACTTCCTGCCATTATGGAACATGGGCTTGGACCTTAGCGCACCGATATTCAGCCATAATTTCCAGTCAGAATGCACTAAAAGAGCCACGCACTGAAGCATTCCAGGGTCCCTGAGCCACATCTGTGTGTACGTGTGCTTCTTCCCTGCGTGTTCCACCCCCTACCCCAGCAGCCTGCAAGGCCGCAGTCACCGTCCAGGCGCGCTGGACGCCACCTTCTGTGACTCGCGTTGAGTTGTGTGTTGTTCCCGGTGGCAGAGCTGCGGGTATCTGTCAGAGTGACCGGTGGGGGGACAGCTGGGTTCTCACCGGGTGCTGGGGCCAGTGCCACCGGAGAGCAGTGTGGAGCCTTTGGAAAGAGCGCTGATTCGGAAGCACATTTTCCGTGGAGGCTGGAGGCTGGCAGCGCCCTCAGCCTCACCGGGAAGGTCTCCTCTTTGCGGGACTCACGCGGCACTGCGGACCGCACGCTGGTGTCTCTCTGGAGGGTGGTTCTGCGGCGTTCTGGAAAACGTCCAGCTTGGGCATGTGTTTGGTGTCTACCTCGTTTCTGCCAACAGTCCGCAGAGGGCCCTGCGTGAATCTGGAATAAAATAAAACGAAATAAAATGTTTGTAGCAAAGAAAAAAAGACTCCAGAGAAGGCTTTCATTTCTGCGGAGGGTCGTCATTCCCCCAGCACAGTGAACGGGACTCAGAGGAGCTCCCCTTCCTCCCAAGGTTTCCTTCTCTTTATGACACTGGAAGCTCTGAAGAGGATGGGGAGGATTTCATCTCCTTATGTCAGAAAGAGACCTGGGCCAGCGGCTGAGCCAGGGTGGCCAGGCCTGTCCCTTCCCTCCAGTGTCTGGGGAGGTTGGGAAGCTGCCCCAGATCTGAAAGGAAGCAGAGGTTTTTGTCTCTGGAGGAAATTTCCAAAAATAGAAGGCCCCTGGGTCACTGCATTTGACTAATGTAAATCCTGGGGCATCTCCCTAACTTCTCACACCAAGCCCCCTGGGAGGGCTGGTTGTTTGCAGCAGGGGCTGGGCCCAGAGAAGAGGGTCAAGCCAGTGACTTGGGGTATTCTAGGGGGCTCGAATTCCCAGTGCAGCCTGGATGGTGCTGGCCACCTGGGGACAGTCAGGGTGAAGGTGCCCTCTAAAACGGGAACAGGAAATCCAGGTTGCAGGGAGAGGCTGAGGAGGAGGGGCTGAGGGAGAAATCCCAGGGCCCGGAGCACACAGCAGACCCCCCCCCCCCCCCCTACCCCCCCCCCCCCCCCTACCCGTCAGGCTGGGGCAGCCCCGGCTCGGCCCCCTTACACAGGTCGCCCCCGGCCCCCCCCCCCCCCCCGGCCCCGCCTCGGTTTGAGGGTGTGAGCTGTGAGTCTTTGGGTCACTACT